CCCCAAGCCTTAAAACATTTGAAAAACTTCTACTTTAAAATGAAATGAAATTAAACTCATGAATAAAAAGACACAGATGAAATTAGATGCTTTTACACGTAGTATTGTCTGACACAAAATCAGACAAACTTTTATTCCAAATTGTTAAAATGTCCAAACAATATAAAGAATGTATTTTCTTCAAAGTCACGTGTTTACATGAATTTTCTTAGTAAATTGAATTGGGTCAACTACTTGGAGTTCACTTCAAGTTTCTCAGAGAAGTTTAATTTTGTCTCATAYAGAACTGGTGTAACTCAGGTTTGTAGCTTTTGCTCAAACATGCTTTCTCATCTCTGCCCACAAGTTTTCTGTGAGACTGAGATCAAGGCTTTGTGAYGGACACTCCGTAACCTTGAAAGACTCAAAAACCCAAGCTTTGACTTCCTTGATGGTTTGAGACATTGCTTCCGTGTTTCCACATAATGTTTTTTTTCCTCGTGACATCATCTGTTTTTTGAAGTGTTCCACTCCCTCGTACAATGAGGCTGCCACCCCCGTACTTCACAGGTGTGATGATGAAAGCCTACCCCCAAACAYTAACGGACAARCAGTTCAGTTTTGGTTTCATCAGACCACAGGGCATGTTTCCAAATATTGAGCTTTTTGTTCCTGTGTGTATTTGCACACTAGTAAGAATAACAGCACTCTAAGGCTGTGTCTCAATTCATGGGCTGGGTCCTCACGAGGACCCAGCCTAGCTGGGCCACAGAGGCCACATCCTTGCTGGGCTGGGTAGGATGCTCAAAACTGCTGCAAAATGAGACGGTCTAGCCTTCGCCTGATGTCAGCTTCACGTGGGTTTGTGTGACCACGTGCTCCCCCGTTACCGTAGTGATCAGTTTCATGTCGGACTTAAAATGCTTCGGGACGTGTTTACACATCTTTTTAGTGGAAGAATAAATTCACAGTTAAAAAGGTAAATGTAAATAAAGAAAACAATAATTTGGGTTTAGCTCCAGTATCTACAACGGAGATAACACATATTTATTATTATTATTATGAAAATAAAGTCATAATATGCAAATAAAGTTGTAATATTATGAGAATAAAGTCAGTGCTTGGTGACCTTAAGAATGCTGGAACAATTTATTCATTTAGTAGAATGCTTAAAAGTTTTTTTAGTGAGATATGAACAAAGATTTGGTTGATACAGTATTTGTATTTTTGTTGTGAAGTCGTTATTTTAAATCATATTGTGTATTAAGTTGAGTTTTATTATTTGTATGTTGTACATTTTTTAGATACATATTTTTTATTGGGGCAGATGTTATGAGATTTATTGTTCTTTCTGCTCCTTTTCATTTGAATATGTTGTGATCGTGTTTTTTTGACACAACGTTGTCCAATTATTTGTTTGTTTCTATTATTATTTGTTTTTTGTTTTTATTTTTTGTTATTTGTTTGCTGAATTAAATAAAGTTATTTTTCCCCTCATACCATCTGTGTACAGCCAGGTGTTTCTCTGTGTTTATAAAGTAGTCTGTGATGACCTGGATCACTGTTAGATTAATGAGCTTTCTTCCAAATTAACTACGTGACGACYRAATCTRTCAATGCATCTATTAATTACAATACAGCTTCAGTTTATCATATAGTCGTTTGCACAATTTCCATGTCCTGCTACTGATAATTGGTGCTAAAATATAACTATTTATTTATAAACAATAAAGAWCAACTTGACAACATCCTCATTTTAATGCAGTGATGACTGCATGCGTTTTCACGTAAAGGCTAGGATATTAAGATTTTTTTCTTGTAGTATGACTTTAATCTCGTAATATTACAATTTTATTCTCATAATATTATGACTATTCTCGTAATGCCATGATTTTATTCATGTACTTTATTCTCGTAACTTGTAGTTGCATTTTCGTTTATTTAACATCTTATTGCAGCATAAATTTCATCAGCTAAGTTGCTAAACTTACTTTTAAAAAACAAATCCTTCGGTCCGTGGTGAATTTCCAAACTGCGCCGACACGTTAAAAAAATAAAAGCACCACCGTCTTCATTTCTCTGTTTATTTTGCTGCCCGCGCATTGAATCCTGGGATATCCTCGGCTGGCAAGGATACATGGATGCATCCTCGGATTTCGACARGAAGTAGGACGCATTCCTCGGCCGCATGATGAGGAGCCTTCAAATTGGGACAGTCCTCTGCGCGGCGCAATGACGTATGCGGCCGACAAATGCGCACTCATGAGGACCCAGCCCCTGAATTGAGACACAGCCTAATAATTAACTCTCTGACCAGCTTCAGCATCTTCACAAAGTATTTTGTCTTTATTGTGGTGTTGATCTCAAGAGCACAGAACCTGTCTATTTTCAAATAATGGCAAGATGTTTCCATCATGTTTAAACTTGGGTAGAAATAATTTAAACTGGTGTTGTGACACTTACAGGCATCTACAAATTGTACCCAAGAATGCATCGGAGTTGCAGAGGTTGCGATTTCCCTTCCTCTTGGCTTAATTGTTTTGTTTGTTTGTTTTCTTTCCATGATGTCACAAAGAGGCCGTGTGTTTGAGGTGTGTCTCCAATTAGGTTAAATGTTGTTATCAAAAGTTGTGAACGCCTCAACATCATTATGATTACAGTCTATGTACCCATCTGGATTCAACTGTAATGATATAAATGCAAAACACTTGAACATAAGTGTGAGAAATTGTTCTTAAAAATCACTAAAACTGCTCCTGTTTTGGACCAACAAAGTTTTTTTTTTCTTTTAGTTTGTTTGAAACAAATTTACTCAACAAATAATGTGTTTAAAGGATGCTCCAACATCACCTTCATCCAAACTTCATCATTTGGAGGTTTGATAACTGCCAGTTATTATCCAAARATCAGCTTTAATACTTTTGGTATTTTGAATGTCTTTTTCTAAGTATCAGAAAACAAAGGTCAGAAGAACTGGTTACACCCCACATTAAATCAGATCTTCTAGAAAAACATCTTTTACTGCTCCAATGTTTTATTCTTTATTAGTTTCATGTTATTTTTTAAAGCAAACTTTTGGTTTGCTGATGGATGGATGGATGGATGGATGGATGGATGGATGGATGGATGGATGGATGGATGGATGGATGNGATGGATGGATGGATGGATGGATGGATGGATGGATGGATGGATGGATGGATGGATGGATGCCATCCTGTGCAAAATATTTGCCAACATTTAAACTGTTGGCTGTATTTAAAGTCAAATATTTCATGGGAATTATTTAACTTGTTGAATTTAACTTCAACGCAAACTAAAGTTTTTACCAACCAAAATGCTTTTAAGAATAAAAACTTAAAAGAAAAATTTAACTTTAAGTGAATCCTGACAATAAAATGACTTAACTCATGTTATAATTGCTTCTAATTTGCTGTTTATTTGTTTTTGTCTCCTTTAGAAAATGGAATAAACCATAAATAACATATGATTATAATTTAAAAAATCTTATTCCTTGAGCGATTCAGTGCTTTTTAAACTACAATCAACATTTTGTTGTGAAATGACAGCGCTGTGAGTGTTTTGGTCAAACCCTGAAAGTAACATTATGCAAAAAGTCAAGTAATATTGTGAAACAACATGTTCACAGCAGATTTTGCGAAAGACTCAGGGCTGCTGGCTCATCAGATTTTGACTCAATATATCTGAAACTGACTGAGTTARAGTCATTGTGTTGGCTGTGCTTGATTATCTGTGTCAGTCAGTTTGAATTGGWTTAATTCTAAAAGTTAATCAGCTGTAAATGTTCAATGTATATCCTCAGATTATTTATTTAAGTTTAACTAATGTTTAGCTTATCGRGAAACATTTGGCTAAATGTGTAGTATTCCACCATGAAATTTTATGAWCTATAACGTCAAATTATTTGGGACAGGGCTGCTAAATAAGGTCAGGACTTTCATCATCTTCATTCTCCTTTCACTCTGGGTCAGACTCTGGCTCCAACGTAAGGCTGGATGGACAAGTCTGCCAAAAAGTGACTCATCATTTGCATATTTATTTTTTGCGTCATTTTTGTCGTGTCCTACACTTGTTTATCAGAGGTACCAGTTTAGTCGTCCCATTTGCAGTGACAGAACTCGATATTCCAGACCTGAAGGTTAAAGAAACGAAAGGTGACCTGGATAGAAGCGATGACATAGACAGGAAGTCGGAGAAAAATGGCGTGTAGATGTGTTGTCCCCACATGYGTTGACCTCATTATCATTCAGCTGCAGCTCATGCTGCAAGAATGCAGTCCAGCAAACACATGTCCACCTCTAAACCCCCAGTGACCTTTGAACACACACACTTTAAGGCTCAAGCACTTATTTAATGACTGTGTTCCTCAGCTCCTAATGCTCCACATCCTCCAGCTCAGTCAGACCTCAGTAATCAGGCTGCAGGAGTTTTCTTTGGCCCGTCAGAGAAAACAGATTCCTGCTGGAGGTTTGACGGACACACAAATAATGCCATGGGATCAGGGGAAAGATGCTGCTAATGAAAAACACATGACTCCATCTGTGTTGCTTTCAACCAAACAATGGTKAAGTGGGTGGGAAACATCTTGCTGGGATTTTCCCAACAAGAACTCCAATRTTCCCAATTGCGATGCATGTGCAGAAGTATAAATTTGCCCCATTGTGTGGGATTTTTACTGTCTTCAGAGAACGATTCCTTCATCCCTTGGTGCGCTGAAACAAAATAACAACAAACTGYGACTCAGTTCGAACACATGAAAGAGCCTCCAGTTCTGCAGAAGGAGATTGAGATTAAATCTGTTTGGAATAAAGCCAAGCAGAGCGGGGTGGTGAGGACCACTGTGGCTGGCCTATCCGCTGAAGAGGAGAGGGAAAGAGGAGGGGAGGGCTACAAATTGAGGGGGAGAGAGAGAGAGAGAGAGAGAGAGAGAGAGAGAGAGAGAGAGAGAGAGA